AGTCGGATGGACAAACCCATCAGGCCGGCCAGAGGCGCATTGTTCATTCAGTGTCCACCAGGTTGACCAGATGAAAAGGACACCTTTTTTTGAGGTCAGGAGAGAACGTCATTTGAAGTCAAGGTGCGATCAGGTGTATCACCTGGTATGACAATAAGAGAAAACCCTACGGTGAAATATGACAGAAAGCAATGGGAGAAAGACAGTTTTACAAGTTCACCCGCCATGAGAGTGAGACCTCTTACTTCTGATGTTGCTGTGTCTGCTATGGCTTTGCGTTTCTTATTTCTGCCTTTCTTTATTTTTTTTTATTTTGCTCTTTCCTTTGTATAATAATAAAAATTTATTTGTTTGTTTGTTTGTTTGTTAAATTTATACCCCACCCATCCTGCAGGCTAAGCCGCAGAAGTCTGTGCTGCAGGGTCAGAAGACCAAGCAGTCGTAAGATCGAATCCACGCGACGGAGTGAGCGCCTGTCGCTTGTCCCAGCTCCCGCCAACCTAGCAGTTCGAAAGCATGCAAATGTGAGTAGATAAATAGGTACCATCACAGTGGGAAGGTAAACAGTGTTCCGTGTCTAAGTCACACTGGCCATGTGACCACGGAAGATGGTCTTCAGACAAAACGCTGGCTCTGTGGCTTGGAAACAGGAATGAGCACTCCCCCCTAGAGTCGAACACGACTGGACAAAAATTGTCAAGGGGAACCTTTACCTTTACTCATCTAGACAGAAGTCTACTCTGGGTGGCTAACAATAAAAATAGAATAAAAATAAAATAAAAAGCAAGAATAGTAATATTCTTCAAGATGGGGGAAAAATAAAAATAATCATTAATTCAAGGGCTATTCAACAGGTGATTGTGTAAAACCTTGAGTTTATGAATGTGGAAGATTGCGCTCTGTATCCATGATTCAGAAAATGAAAAAATGGTCTGATACTGGTCTTCACATCACCAACTGGATAAAGGATGCTGACATTACATAGCAAAGGGCAGCTGACAACACCAATGGCAGGAGTCAAGAAGGTCTACTCTTGTGTTCACTACCATTCAGAAAATGACACCAAGCCTTATCATGATGGCTTTCTTTGACCTTAGGTTTTGTTGATGTGGCCAGCACACACAGACGCCAGCTGCATTCCACAGAGGTAAGATCAAGCAATATTGTTCAGGATGGGACGACTTCTTGTGTGTATGCAGAATATCAGGAATGGCTTGCAAGGTTGGAACAGAAAGCAGAAGCAGTGGGGGTGGGTGAGAAGTGAAGTTAGCAAAAGAAGCTTAATGTTAAATGCAGTTTTTGCCAGCCAGTAGAATTCACAGCTTGCCATTGAACAGGAACCCAATAACGTCAATCCAGCTTTTTAAAAATGCTGTCTATGTTCCTTGAAATTTTCCTCTGCATCTCTGTGTGAAAGAAAACATCTACCTTGGAAATGGGTTGGAAGCACAGAAGCCATGTTCAACCATACCCTTTCCAGGCAGAAAATCCATGTCGTGCAAAACAACCCAGAATGGCAACTTCTGAGTAGGATAAACCACAGCAATCCAGAAGGGAGAAGGGATTAAGAGAGGGGGGGGGCTGATGCCGAAAACATCAGCGGAAAAAAGATTTTGTACCACTTGTGGACTAGAAATCCATATTCCAAAGAAAATGCTCAGAATGGCTCACATACGAGGAGAAGTCACTCGTACAGGGATCATTGACTGCGAATTCAACAAGCCATAAAAAATTTAAAAGATCCACCTGTCAGGGTCTTTCTCTCTCCCCTCCCCCAAATAACCCTTAAATAGCAACTTTGGAAGAGAACAGAACTAGCCAAAAATTGTTCACAGCAAACACATTCCAGTAGTTTTCCCAGCCATGTCTCAGTGCAGAAAGTGGCAAAAATTTCCCAATGAACCATGCTGTAAATCTATGTTATACAAATATAGACTGTGGATACATTGAATGGTTAGTTAAATATCTCCCATTCAACCCTCAACTTACTGTTCTACCCCTTTTTCCTAGAATACGGAGTTTTCAGGTTTGATTTCCATTTTCCTTTATCCGTCCCATCTAGTCTTATGGGATGGGTGCATTTCCCTTGGGCTGTCCCATTTGGAAGCTGCTGTTTCAGGCTATTTTTCTTGAACCTGGATTTCCCTCCTGGAAAAGCTTCTAGAATATGTTCCAGCTGGATGCGACTCATTGCAACTCAGCTTACACTTGAGAAGATGCACACCTTTTCATGGAAATATTAGAGAGGGCGGAAATACCTCCTCTGGTTCCCTCAACTGCCCTTTACCTGATTGGACATCTCCTGACCTTCCTTCAACCATAGAATGCTATGCTGAGAGTTGCTGGTGCTACTTCCATCTTTCTCACACCTGCCTCTTGTCCTTCCAAGGTTGGTACCTCTCACCTTTGAGATGAGAGGGACAGCCATGGCTCCTGGCAGCTCCAAGTTAGTTAGCTCAAACAAGAACTCCTATAACTGTTCCTAGCCATGGTGTATTTCTCCAATAAACACAAGCTGTCCTGTTTTTCTCAGAAAGAATTGTAGACATGATTCCTTCACAAAGGGGAAAGTAGGCTTAAACAAGACCTGGGCAAAGTGCGGCCCGAGGGCCACATGTGGCTCGCGAGCCCCCCCCGTCCCCC